TTTTTTTAGTGAGCAGAATATATTTATTGAGAGAAAGAAAGCTCCTGTCCAAGAGAGGGACAGGAGGGGGGCCCGAGTGGGTAGTTTCCCCCCTAAGTCCATGCTTTTAAAAATAAAGGTTGCACTAACCTCTGGGGCAAGAACATTTTATTTCATAGACTGGTACAAAAATACCTTAACACTATCGATTAGTGGCAGTATATAGCACAGTGATGAAGTATAGAATTTAGAACCAGCCACCCCTCCCTTCCTTGGTTAGGTACATAATCTTCAGCAAATGACTAAGCTATCAAGTTTCTCAATTACTATATTGGAAGTGATAATGTTATTAACCTTATACAGTTATTGTGACAGTTATATGAATTAACTCATCCAAAGCTCTTAGATGATTAGTACATTCTGAATATTAACAATTATCCTTTGCTCTGATTCTTCCTATGACATAACAAGGGCAACTGTCCACAGATCACCAACTGGGAAAATGGGGGTTGGCTCAGCAACGCCACACACTTGGTGTGCCACATTCACTGATTCACCAACCAAGAAAGAAAAAGAAAGAAAGAAAGAAAAACAGACAGTGCCACCTTTACATTGCATAAGACATTGTAAGAAATCCACAGCTGATTTACAGTACATACGAGGATGTATGTGGGTTGTATGTAAATACTGTGCTTTTTTTTTTTTTTTGGTGGAACCGGGGATTGAACTCAGACCCTTGTGCTTGCCAGGGAAGTGCTTATTCCACTGAGCCATCTCCCCGGCCCCTACGGCACCATTATATACAAGACTGCAGCATCCGCAGATTTTGGTACCCAAGGGTCATCCTAGACCAGTAGTGGCGAATCTATTCCACACGTGTCCCACTGAGAACTCTGAAAGATTTGCCATTATTGTCCTAGTCCAGTCCTCTGTGGACGTAGAGACATCGCCACCTGTCCAGCGCCGGGCACCTCTGTGCTTGGCCTTGGCACTAGGTAAATGCTGCATAAACCTAAGCAAGGGATGCCCAGATGCAAATACTGCTTGTAGAAAACAAATGAATGTAAAACTCAACGTTCTACTTTCCTGAAACCATCCATGCAGCAGCCTTTTTAAGGGACAAGATCTCTCAAACAGTAATAATGAAAACATCAGGGCCAGCGAGTTAGCTCAGCAGACTAAGCATTTGCTTAGGCAAGTGCAGGGACCAGGATTCAATCGCTGGCATCACATGCCATGCCCCACCACCAAGACTGGGCGTGGTGGCACACACCTGTAATCCCAGCACTAGGGAGGCTGAAAACAGGAGAATCACTACGAGTCTGAGCTGCATAGTAAGACCCTGGACCAAACACATAAAAAAATAATGGAAACATCTTCAATCAAACAGAATGCTTCTAGGAAATAAATAACAGCACCAAAAAAATGTCAACTTTATATCCTCTATTAGTGAACATTTAAAAAAAAAATCATGCAGGAGGTTATTCAAAAAGCAGATGCAGGGGCTGGGGAGATGGCTCAGTGGAATAAGCATTTCTTTGGCAAGCGCAAGGACCGCGGTTCAATCCCCCAGCACCACATGCCAGCCAGCCCCGCCCCTTGGTGGGCTGAGCT